AGGGTACGACAAAATAGGCTGTGGTGGTTCTACGCAAATCTGTGTCCTGGAACGAAGAAGAGACAACCCCGCACGACCGTTTGGAACTAGCGCAGACCATCTTTCTCCAATTCCTGTAACCACTGGAGGTACCGGTGGCCGTCTTTGTTGGGCGGATCGCCAGTGACCTTCAGGTTCAACAACATGACGGATCGCAACCGTGCTGGCCCCAGCTCGTCCTTGGAATGGCTAACGTAAACCCTGCTCTGTACCGCACTCTGAAGCAAGTGGAAGTCCACGGTAAGATCTTGCAACGAGATGTTTTCGAGTTCTGGGCATATGCTTGAGTAACCCGATGATTCGATACAGAATCGCGGGGCCTGCTCGTCCGCCGGAGACCAGAGTAAAGTAGAAAGTAGGGAAATGAAATCGACATCAGGTTTGCTCTTAGAGACGACGGCGAGGGACTGAAGGGATGGAAGTCGTGGTAGCAACTCCGACAGGGCTTTGACAGCGTCGGTATCTTGAGGAGTGTCGAATGAGAGTGTTCTAATGATCGACGCTTGGCCAGACTCGGTGGGCAGGGATCGCAACGCACAGATGTCCTCCTTATCGGCATGTTTGAGAGAAACCTCGTTAAGGGAGGGCGCTCGTAAATATCGAAGGGCTGTTCGTGTTGCATCCTCTGGCTCGAACCACGGATGTCGGATTTTGTATGAATGGAGCTTAAGGGTACGCAGGAAGGGAAGACGGGCGGGTGCTATAATTGAAGGAACACCTGTGGGCCCGCTTTCCCCGACGAACTTTTCGGTGGAGGAAAGGACTAGGGTGACGAGTTGCTGAGTAGCACGTAGAACCACGATGACTTTACTCGTTTTAGTGGTGCGCCTACTCAACTCCAAGAATCTCACACCTTGCCACCGAAGAGGAAGAGAAAGGTTGAGTCGAACATGGCTGAGGGTAAGCGTTTCCAAGATTGGTGTATTGCGGAAGTAGCCTGATGAAAACCAGCAGTCGCCTTGTATCTTCAGGGTACGCAGAGATGCAAATGTCGGGGACTTCTCCGGGAAGATCTTCTAGTCGTAGACGAGCCCTGCAACCTCCAAATTTGTTCAAGTCGTCGCGTACGATAGACTCATAGAGGTTCGAAGTTGAACTGAAGAAAGGTCTGTTCGTTCATGTGCGCCTATTTCGGACGTTCGCCAGATCTGGGATTATCGCTACAGTACTCTATATCCAGCTCTTGTGAGGTTGAAGGCGCAGAGGTTTTGCATCAGCGTACAGTAAGACGGCACAAACGTTCTAAAAGATTACTGCTTAGGGCAATTTCGATGTCCGGTAATGCGAAACGGTACATAGTATATGATGAGGGTAGAGTACGACAAAATAGGCTGTAACAGTAGTGTATCTACACAAATTCACTCCTTCCAGAAGAGCCAATCCTCGAGCGGCCATGAATATTGGTGTAGACCTTCATTCTCCAACTCAGGTCCTTTAGCCACTGATGGTAGGCGCCCCGCGCCGATCTGTGACCCCCACGTCCAACAAGGTGATAGAACACAACCGTGCTGGTCTCTGAGAGGTCGCCTCCTGTTTTCCGGTGCCCATCCTGCTTTCCACCAGGCTCTGGAGCGAAGGGAAGTCTACGATGAGATCTTGCAACGAAAGGTGTTCGAGTGCTTCGCATATTCTTCGGGTATCTGATGGTTTGCTAGTAGGTAGGCTCTCCTCGTTGGGCGTCGACCAACGCAAAGCAGAGAGTATGGGATTAAAGTTGATGCTAGACGTCGTGGAGATGATGACCAGGGACTGTAGTGACGAAAGACCTGATAGCAACTCCGTTAGAGCATTGACCACGCCGATGTGTTTTGGACTATCAAGGGAGAGCGTTTTGATGGTCGGAGGGTGGCCGAACTCGGTGGTGAGAGCTTGCAGCGCGCGGACATCTTCTGTGTCAGCGTATCGGAGATAAACTGCAACGAGACGAGGTGCTTGTATGTGTCGAAGAGCTAAACGTGTTGTATCTGAGTCATAGAAGAGTCTATGCCGGGCGTTATGCGAATCAACTCTCAACGCTCGCAGCAAGGGAAATCGGACTGGCGTGATGTTGGCACGAACATCCGCCGCTTCACCTTCTATAACTGGCCTTCCGGTGCATGCAAGAATTAAGGTGTCGAGCTGCCGAGTAGATTCTAGAATCCTGAGGAGCGTGCTTGCTGTAGTGGCACACCCGTCCAACTCTAAGAACCTCAGTCCTTTCCACGAAGGGGGGAGAGGACGGCTGAGTCGAACGTCGCAGAGGGTGACCGTTTCCAGGAGTGGTGTATGACGGAAACAGTCTGAGGAAAACCAACTTTCGTGACGTATCTTCAGCGTGCGCAATGATCCAAACGTCGGGTATCGTTCCGGTAAGGATTCCAAGCCATACGCGCTTCCCAGGACTTCCACTCCGGCGCATTTGGGTAGATTCTCCACGATGCGCTTGATGGGTTTCATGATCATGAGTTGCTTGGATGCATCGTTGCGACAATGGAAAGAGCGGAGGAATGTTGGTAGAGATATCCAAGACACATGATGGTGGGTGGTGAAGATTGGCTCTTCGCAGCTGAGCCTCTGCGCGCCAGCATCGGAGGAGGATACGCGAGGTACCCTCGCTCGCCTGGAGAGCGGGATCCGACAAGGAGAATACATGGCCTCTCGGCCAGAGATCGACCTTGATGTCGTTCCAGAGGCTCGAGCAGGAGGACGCTAACGCTCTCCATCGCCTGCACGTCGCAGATATGATCCACGGTGAGTCGTCTTCGCCGATAGCCACGTCATGTCGAAGGGCATGTTGAAGGGCGTCGAAGATAAGCAACAGAGCATCGTCTGGAAGCAGAGCGATGGGCGCAAGGTGTACCTGGAACTGAACAACCGTAGATTGGATGTCTTGCTGGTGCTTGCGCAGACGTTCAATGGCGCACTCGAGGTCTTCTATCCTCGCTTTTCCACCTGTTACTGTGACGATATCTTTGGCTGACTGTGGAGAGTTGGGGAGTAGTCGCAATGTTGGGGATGGAACGGTGGGATAAGAGTGCAAGTAGCTTTGGCATTGTCGCGGCCACCGTCCTGCGCCATTCCGCACCCGAAACATGTAGATCTCTAAGTCTGGGATGCGGAACATCAATGAGCTGCACATTAAGTCGATTGCTGAGACGTACGACTTTGGCAATCCGCTTGGTGGTGGGCGTGGCTACGATCTGCTTGGTCAAAGTGGGTGCCTTGAGGGGCTGCCTGGCGCTGGGAGGTTTCTTCATGCTGAGTACCATCGGGGGAGGAGTACGCTTCAAGGAGGTCACTGGAGAGGTTTGCTTCAAACCACGCGTTGGGGAGATCTGCTTCAAGCTGGGCGCTTGAGTGGTCGATCTCGTGTTGGGTGCTTTAGGAATGTGCTTATCGCTACCAGCTCCATGGATAATCTCCTTACCCTGAGCTCGAGCTTGGAGGGAGAGTCGAGCACCAGGCGTCCTCGAGGCTTGCCGCATGCTGGATAAGCTGAAGGTCGGTTCGATACAGAGGCATTGAGAACCTGCTTGGTACTGGACGGCTTAGAGGTGTTCTGCTGCTTCGCGATGAGCCTTTCGAGCTGGACATTCTTGCGAGAGCGATTCTAGACAGCATATCGACTGATAAGCTGCGATAAAGGAGTGTGGTACTTAGGTGATTCGAAGTGCCGTGTACAAAAGCAATGCAAGTCGAAGGAAAGAGCTTAGAGAGGTAAGTTAGTAGATCATGTGCGCCTGCTCAGAAATGTACATACTCCGAACCACAGCTCCATTTGAGGCCGCACCAACGGTCTTTGACTCGCCCGCTTTTGTGATTGCAGTAACATCATGAATGAACTCATAGACTAAGACGGAACGACTTTCTGACAGGGTAAACCCAAGTAGTCTCGAACTCCACAGAGTGGTCATGGAAGACTGTGGCTCATGCATCATGCGGTGAATGTAGAGCCTTCGGAGGCGTAGATTTCAAGCTTTCTAGAATATCCATAAGCCACGCATTCGTCCAAAAAGATCAGAGATAAGCTGCCCAGGGGCCTCTTTTGAACACCGTCCCTTCGGTGGTCACCGCTCTCGCCCAGTGGAGCATAGTAAGCCCAAATTAAGTGGGAAGAGTTTTCTTGATGAGGGTAGGCAAGTTGGCCGTCTGGCTTCCTGCCGCTGGAAATCGGAAGGCTTGGAAGAGCGTGCTCTACTTTGGACATTCGAGCAGGCGAAGATGGTGTGCGAGGAGGGGCGACATATGGGGGGAAAGTTGTGGATAGACCAGGGTGCAGGACAGTCTGGCAAGAAAGAGAACTAAGATGAAGGCGAAAGCGAGAAAGTGGGAGCGTGGAGTGCTACCTGTGGTGGAAGCTGAGAGTTGAAACGTTGATACGCCAGCTTGCATGTCGTAGTTCCATCCTAGTAGTCTAAAGACTCTGTTAGAGCCTAGCGTCTAGCTATAGCCTAGTAGTAGAATCTCTGACCTTTCCGAACCCATGCACTCGCGGGTAGGTTACTGTAAACACATCCCTCATCAGGCGAGCCAGCGACTCCTAAGGACACTGATGACGATCTCGCATTAGCACCGTGCTTCATTCAGATGCACAACATCAATACCTGCTAAACTAGAACAAGTCCCTTCCCAAGCATATTATGCGCGTACCCGTTGAGCGTGGATATCTTCAGCAAGAATCTGACAGCGTGATAACTACGTAGGCTCTGCTGAGCGCTGCTGTTGCTATTTTTTGATGCGGGTAATCAAAGCGCAGGTCGTATACCACGAGCTTGGTGGATATACATGTGTGGGAAGAGACAGAGTGTGTAGGTCGCCCATTGGTAGTCGAGCCTGCCGCTCTGGATCTGCAGGTGGATCGAATATCGAAAGCAAGTGAATGCGAACCTGGCGGCGGCGGTGAAAGACTTGAGCTGGATGACTAGTAGAAAGTCCTGTGTTAAATATAATATATATATATAATCTACAAGTACGCCTTCAAGGTCACTTTGCCGGAGTGGTTAACGGGATCGCCTGCTATCTGACCTACCAGCTTTGGCATTCAGCGGTTGTGCTTTGCACGCGTGTGTTCGAATCGCACAGGTGACGACTTTTTGCCTACACCGCGTCCTGCAAGTCGCTCGCCTAAATTGCGCGCGATTTTTGCCTCACACTGCAGTCTGCCGCATTACGTTGAGTTGTTCTACACAGATTGCTCTTCTCCAGTAAGGCTCAAGTGGCTATACAAGTTTTCAGCAAACAGAGCCTCGCTCACCTTGGCTGCTGCCGCACCATGATGAGTTCAATCTCATTGACAGCAGCCTTCTACTGCTGCCTGACCACTACCGTCACGGGCCACCACACGCTCAATGTCAACTCTTTGCATCCGCTCTCCAGCGCGTCCTCGTACCCGAGCATCAACATGAAGCTAGTAGAAAAACGCTCATGCTCTGAAACAAGATGTAGTTCGCTGTTGGCTCAGTACAACCCACAGTATCAGGGGAAGTACAGCAAGTACAGCTTCAAGAATCAATACAAGAACCAGAGAAGAATCTGGTTCGAACTTATGCCCGATGTTACGCGACTTGGATGGATTCTGCAACTCGTCCAGTCTCCAAGCAGTCCGAGACACATCGCCTTCGCCGCTCCACCGGAGCTAGTCCACCCGCATCCGATGAGCTGACAAGTATCGACTACCGCGCTTTCCACATCGAACCTTACGTTCACCAACGCGGAAAACCCTGTTCGCCGCTCTGCTCTGTTGACCATCGAAGAAGTGACTGATCATCTCAAAGCTGTAGTCCTGGGCCAGTACAGTTGCGAGGCGACCTGGTCGCTCAACGTACCAGACGATCTCAATGCTTCAGAGGTACGTATGTTGGCTCCTCTGTACTGCGAAACTGTCCCTCACTCGCTTTTCAATCGCAGGCTTCCGAGCATATGAGAGCTATTAGCATTGTCTCTCCATGGAACTCAAGTTAGATCTCGGTCCTGAGCACCAGAAGCTAATTTGCCCCACCACTTTTCCTTCCTCTTCCTTCGCTCTCGTTTCGCGTTCTTGTTTTTCTCGTTTCAGATCGAGTGATCTGCGCTCTATCACTTCTTCCCATTGCTCTGTCTACCCATTCAGCTCATGACCACTTCGGCAGGCCTTCCTGCAGTTTGCGCTTTTGCAGGCATTGGCGTTCCAAATGTTCAGTTTCGTCACAGATTCCGTCTGCATCTTTCTGCAGTTCAACATCGCTTTCGCTTAAACCCCATCGCTTTCTCGTGTAATTGTGTTCTTCTTCCATTGTGTGGCACTCGCTTCTGCACGCTCTCGCTGTGCCACTTGACGACTTCCTATTCGGTGCTGTGATGCCATTGTTGTTGCGCCTCGTCGATGTTGACTATTCAGAAACGGACACATTTTGCGACCCATTGTCGTTCCCTCTGTCCTCTATATAACCCCAACTAGATTCCCGCTACCCTCATCAACTCGCCGACCCCACCCCTGCAGCTCCCAGAAACCGAACGACCTTTCCAAGAAGTGCAAATCTTGGGTCATTCATCCCGTCGTAGCCGAGGTCCAAAGACGCCTAACACCTGCAAGCCACTCGTCATCGTAACAAACCCTCCTGTGCCGACAGCAGAAGGAGACGAGCCGAAACCGACACCCGCAGCTCAGCCGCCAAATCTAAAGCAGTCCCGCCTTATCCGCAGCCCTTACGCGAACCAGACCATCCCAACGGATGCCGGATTTCTCCAACCATGCCCTCTTCAAGGCGGGGGGTTGTTCCAGTCGTTGTCGATGGGAGAGCGACTGCGCTCCTTGGGATTCACAGATTTCAGCACCGACACGACGGCGGTGCACATTTTCTCGATTCTCGCGGAGTCTCCGTACGTCGCCCTTTCTTGTTTCGATGCGTCTGATCCTAACGCGTGCACTCCGTAGCCTTTCATTCCTCACGCTCTCCCATGGTATCCACAAGATCACCGCCGCACCCATGGACGAGTCCCGCAAAGTCTCCACCGTCACCCTCACTCTCTCCTCTTCCCTGCCTCCCGGTACCCCGCCCACACATCTCCTCGTCGCCTACTCTTCGTCGTCCTCCCCATCCCGGCGAAGTACAATAGGCACGCATCCCTACGCTGCACACCACCCGCTTCTCACCGCCCTCTGCTCTACCCTCTCTTTTCTCCTCTTCTCCTCCTTGCCCCTCCCCTGCGCACCTCGATAAGCCAAAGATCCTCGTCGTACACCTCGCAGTGCCCTACCCTGCTTCATTGGGGTACCTTCTTGGATATCTGCACAGCGGGGATGAGGAGTGGCTAACGTGTCCGTGGGGTCAAGGAGCAGTGTTCATGCCGATGCGGGTGGCGGGCGTGTACTGGCGGGAGATGAAAGCGAAGGCGAGGGCGATGGGGGTGGTGGGGGAGAGGTTCTGGGGAGTGCTTGGGGCGTTGATGGGACAGGTAGAAAGGGTCTGTGAGAAGGATGGGGACAAGAAGAAGATGAAGAAGAGCTTAAACGGTGGGAGGGGGGAGAATGTGGAAGCATCGAGCTTGAAGGGGAGTGGGACGAAGAGGAAGAGGGGAGAGAGCGATGGGGAATGCTCGAGTGGTCCTTTGGGGCTTGAGTCGGATGCATGATTGGCTGTAACGTTCTACTCGCGGTCTCGTTTTGTAAACCATGTTTTTCTTCAGTGCCTATTCCTGCTATCCCATGTACATCCAACTACTTTACACCTGCTGTACACCATATCCTACAAGAAATTGATCAGTCAACCAAATGAGAGAACCGACAACCTTCACATTCCCGGCGCAAACTCCAAACCACCTCCATTCCATGATGTCCCCACTATCAACCCTCCCTTCGCCAGTAAGCTCAACTTTTTTATTTGCGCGTCACTCCACGGGCACCCACTCCATCCAGCCCACTGCACCACCACCTTCTCCAACCCGCCCCGGACGTGTCGACCTGAGATCATAGTGATCAGGTCGTCCAGTGCCAGGTCCGGTCTGGGCCTGCTCCCGTTCTCTTCGTGCGCAGAGTCTGAGTTGGCAGAACTGGACCTTCCCGCCTGAGTATCCCCCGCCACGTTGCCCGGTACATCTCCCTCGCCTCTCCACGCCGGTAGATTCAATCTTCGTGCCGAGCTAGGCACACCTCCTCTCAGCCCCGGTGTGCCTCTCAACGGCGGCATAACAATCTTCAGCACCTTCAACATCCTGCACACGGCGAATGCGTGTGGGCCTGATTCGGGATCAGACATGGCGCGGAGGAGGATGATGAGGGACATAAAGGTGATGATGATGGCGGCGTCGGAGAGCTCGGATGCGGCGTCGTGGAGGCTGGCTTCGACGACGGCTTGAGGGACTTCGGTGGGTGCGGGTGCGGGTGCGGGTGCGTCGGCGGGTGCAGGCGCGTCGGCGGGTGCAGGCGCGTCGGCGGGTGCAGGCGCGTCGGCGGGTACAGGTGCGTCGGTGGGTGCTGGGGCGGATGCTGGGCCTTGTAGACCCTGAGCAGGGGCTGATACTTGAGCTGGTGCTACGCCTTGAGCTGGACCTAATCCCTGGGGCTGTGCTGGGCCTTGAGCCAGTGCTAGTCCTGGAGCCGGTGCTACACCTTGAGGTGAAACTGGTCCTTGAGCGATTGCTGGTCCTTGAGCGGGTGCCACACCGGGAGCGGGCGCTGGACCTTGAGCCGGCACTGGACCTGAAATAGGAGCTAATCCTTGAGCGATTGCCAATCCATGAGCAGGTGACAATGCCTGAGGAAGTGCCAATCCCTGGAGAGGCCCCAGCCCCAGCATCACAGGCATACCACCCCCTCCAAATGCACTCCTCCCCAGCCTAATCCCGCCCAAAACCCCCACCTCCAACACCTTCAACCACGGCACATACGCCAACATCCTCGACAACTCCCCGTGCGTAAGCACCCACATCCCCTTCACCCTCAGCTCTCTCACCTCCGTCGGTCCACTCCTCAGTATCATCGTCCCAAGCGATGTCACAAATGCACGGGTTTCCGGGGAGCCGGCGGTGAAGCGGGGGAGGATGGTGATCGTGCTGAGGAGGGGAGCGCTGAGGGAGGAGAGGAAGCGGGAGGGTGAGGGAGGGAGGGTGAGGAATTTAAGGTTGGGGTGTGTGGGTGCAGATGGAGCGGGTATTTCCGTTTCATCGTAGAAGGGGGGAGGGGCGTCGGGTTCGGAACCTCTTGGACCTGGGCCAATGTAGATCTGTCTTGCCGATCCCGACATCCCAGCCATCGGATACACCAGGCTTGGTGGGACGTTCGTTATCCTCAGCACCTCTAACTGATCCCAGGGTAAGAAGGGAAGGCCTGGATGTAGCCCATCGAAAGAAGCGGTACGCAGGGTAGGGAAGGAGCCGATCATGAGGGTGGGAGTGGGGAAGGAAAGGACGAGGTGCTGCATGTTCTCGAAGACGGGATCTGCGGGACTGCCGAAGAAGTCTTCGTCTTCATCAGAGCCGGAGCTGTCGTCCTCATGTGGATCCCGCTGGGGGCCATAATCGGATGGATCGAGAGGAAGGGGGAACCACGCCTCTTTATCGTCGCATCTGGCATCGAGGTAGCTGATCCTGCGATACTCTGGGCCTAGGACCGTAGGGAGCCATGCTCCTACTTTAGGCTCGCGGTGGATGTTCATGTCGCGGAGGTAGAGGTGGAGAAGCTGGTCTGCGGATAGTGCGATGGATTGCGCGATGCGGTGTTTTGCTCGCTTAAGTCGGTCTCCTGCCTGGCTCGGATGAACTGGCATGAGGACGACAACGCCCCAAAATGCGCCCATCGACTCATGCGAGAGCTTTCGCCAGTCGTGGCAAACTTGGCTGGTCGTCCAGAGAGGATGGAGCAGATCGAGCGTGTCGTATGTACGTGCGGGAGTACTGGCCGGGCGATCGGGATTGTAGTGAAAGCGATGAACATGTTGAGATCCGCCATCTTCGCCGTCGTAGATCTGGGAATAGGGATCGCGAGCATTGAAGTGCTCGTGCTGGAAGAGCTCGTGGTGGGCGTCCTTGTGTTCTTTGTCCTCATCGTACTCTGGATACCCATGATGGTCGTAGTTGTCTAGGCATGCGATTTCGAAGATGTTGAGGAGGAC